CCCCACCTTGACGTCATCGTAGCCGTACATGACCTTGGCGCCACCCTTGGACTGCCGCCACGACTTGGGCAGGGCGCGGTACTTCACATTGACCATCACGCCGTCCCTGAAGTAAGGGAAAGCGATCCAGCCCGCCGGCTGCTGCTGCTGCTGCTGCTGCTGCTGCTGCTGCTGCTGCTGCTGCTGCTGCTGCGGTTGACGAGCGTCCGGGCCCGCCGGCCCCTGCCGCTGCCAGCCCGCGCCGCCGCCTTGCCGGGGAGGCGGGCGGGCCTGCGCGTCCATCATCACCCGGTTCTCCTGCAGGGTGCGCCTGCTGATGCCCCTCTCGCGCTCAAACCACTGAACAAACTCTTCCGACAGCTCAACAAGGTCCGCCTTGATCGGCGGCGGCGGCGCGGACGGCGACGCCTGCGCCGCGCCGAGGCCCGAGTGCGCGCCGTAGGCAGGGCCGGCGCCACCGCCGCCGCCCTCCGGCCGCGCGAGCCGCTGCACGAGCGCCGCCGCGGCGCCCATGCCGCCGCCGCCGCCGTAGCCGTAGCTGCTCCCGCTGCCGCCGTACCCGTTGAGGCCTGTGGGGCCGCCGCCAGCGCCCTCGGCGGCGCGGCTGACGCCGGCGTCGCCCAGCAGGCTGCGGCCGCCCTTGAAGCCGCACTTGGCGCGGTGGCAGCACCACAGGACCGACAGCGCGTCTTGGGTGGTCGTAACTGCAAAGCAGTCCTCGTTGTGGGCGCCGTTGCCTGATTGGTTGAATGGCGCGAGCCGCAGGGGGCACATGTGGGGCGGCCGCTCAGTACAGAATCAAGGGTCGAAATGGTGGCTATCAGGGCCCGGTTCAAGGGGCACGGGAGCGCCAGCAGAGCAGGATGCGTCAACGTCAGTGGACGTGTGCGCGAGCAGGTCGCGCGCGCTGTCGGCCCTCACCACACTGGGGGCATGTGGCGCGCACGGTGGACCCTGGCTTGAGCTGCGGCAGCGGCTCCGAGTCCCACTCCTCCTCCAGCAAGTCGCACAGCGCCTGCGCAAAAGGGCACGTGTGTTTTTGTGTGTGTGTGGGGGGGGGGATTGTGACGGTGATGTGCTGCTGCGAGAGACGTGGCTGCTGCCATTGCAGGAGGGATGGTGGGCCGCCGTCCCTGCAAGCCATGCAATGAGAGAAGATGTGCCAGCAACGCCGCTCTTTTCAACGCCGCGACGATGAGTTGACGGTGAGGTTTTGCCCGCTCAATGACACCCTAACTTCAGTTTTGCTTACCTCCAACCGCTCTCGTTCGTCCATCTCAGTAGGAAGCTTCTGCCAGCCGCCTGGGGGAGCTGTAATGCCGCCGCTGCTGCCCGCACGTCCACTCAAATGTGAATTGACCTGCGGGTGCTGCTGCTGCTGCTGCTGCTGCGGTTGGTGTTGGTGGTGATACTGCGGCTGATGCTGCAAGTATCCCTCCTGCTGCTGTTGCGGCGGCAGCGTTGCAGGCTGCTGGTACCATTGCTGTGGAGGTTGCTGCTGCTGCTGCGGCGGCGGCTGCACGTATCCCTGCTGCTGCGGCGGCTGCGAATATCCCTGCTGCTGCTGCTGCTCGTTGAGGTGGGGGTGCCAGTGCTGCTGCTGCTGCGGCAGCGGTGGGGCCAGCGGCGATGGTGGCAGTTGTGGTGGCTGGGTTGGGTGCTGAAGCCCCTGCTGTGGCAAGTAGGATGGAGCATGCTGCTGCAGCTGCGGCTGTCCCTGCCTCTGCGGCTGCTGGTAAGCTTGTTGCTGCTGCTGCTGCTGCTGCTGCTGCTCCTGCCGCTGCACATACATCTGCTGCTGCGCCTGCGACTGGTCTCCCAGGTGCTGTTGACTCGGTTGCTGGGAGCCCGGTGGTGGATACCCGTTCTGCTGCAGCAGCTGAACCCCAGCTCTTGGCACGCGCGCTGGCATTGTGGGCTGCTCTGTGGGCGCCTTTGGCCTTCGCGCTCGTGCTGGCGGCGGCTGTGGCTGCTGTGGCTGATTTGGCTGCTGAGGCTGCTGCTCGGGTGTCGGCGCCGGCGGCTGCGTCGACGTCGACCTCGACACACGCGGGGGCCGGGCTGGTGGCCGTGGCACGCCAGGCCTAGCTGCAGCGGGCTGAGGGGTGGTTGTCCGCCTGCCCTTGCTTGGGGTGCTCGGATTGTCCAGCGGCTGCGACGCCGCATGCAGGGCGCCGTTGGCGGGAAGCCGGTCCCGGCTGCCTGCCTCAGTTGCAAAGCAGCGGGCCGCTGTTGGGCTGCAGCCGCTGACCCCCGACACGCCAGGAAATGGCAGGTGGTGCGCCCAGCCGCCAGCGGTGCGGCGCCTGACATGCATAGAGGCGGCCGTCAGGAGCGCGCGGCGCCCTGCTGGCACCACCGCTGCTGCCGCCGCCGACGACACGGACGGCGCGCCGCATGCAGCCAAGCCGGCAACATGAAGGTGGACCTGTGTTGTACACAGAACCATGACGCGGCTTAGCAGCGCTGAAAGCATCGACTGACCATGACTTGCAGATTGTCAGATCAAACCATTCGGGGTAAGTCTTTATACACTATGCAAATGTAGGCAGCCATATCTCATTTGTATGACGACATGAGCTACTGTACTGTACTTGCCTGCCTACGGTATTATAAACGCCCGCCAATTTTTAGCCCAGGCCGGTTCAGACTGGCCGCGGAACACGAGTGCCTGCACAGTACACACCTGTGAGGTGGTGTGAAAAAAAGATCTATGAGATGGCTCTCGGCAGCAGTATTACAGTGGCTGTGCACCACATTCACCTTCAAGTGCAGACTCCGCCGCCGCTGGTGGCCAGCGTGAAGCACATACGCACCATACATATGACCAGCCTACCACAATACAGTCTGGAACGTCATGAGTGGCTCCACTTTGCATCCCTCACTCACAGGCACATTGTTATAGATGGTCGGCTGTCGTGAGTACGGGTGACCATTTGTCAGCCAGCCAGCACAGTGAGGAAGGGACAACAACCCTCACACAAGCCCGGAAGGAGTCAATGAGGGTATCTTGTGGTCTTGTGTGTGGAATCAGTGCTGCTCTTGCCCTCTCAACTGCTGCAACGCCACGGCCGTGCTGTACTTTCAATCCAGCAAAGTGCTTTTGAGTGCAAGCACGGTTTGTGATATCCTGCGAGGTGCGCCAGGGTACCACACAACAGTGTGGTGACATTTTTTGGCTGAAGTTGTAAGGCGGTCAACTGCACATACTGTATGCACTTGCTTGCAGGCAGGCAGATGGCCGGCAGCGTGGCGATGCAACGCTTTGTTGTGGGTTGTGAGCAAACTCTAGAGTGGGTACCGTACCCAGGCCCTTTTCCAACCGCTTGCAACCAGGTAGCATACAGGTGCGTATGACATTCCGAAGTAGTTGTTGTTGCAACAGGACAAGCTGTGGTGAGCCCGAGGGTGCGGGGCTGGCAGGCGAGGGGGCCTCTGAGTCCTGACACTCAGACTGAGTTCAGGTCACGTGAGCGGGCTAGAACGAGCACGCGACGTTCGCAAGAATTCTCTCCATGGTCGTCATTTTCCAATATACGCTGATGTCTGAAAAAATCATCTTCCACTACTGTACCGTTACCGATCATCCGACGTCGACGTAGAGCAAAGACCGTTCTCAACCGTGCTGATCACGATAACGAACCTGCCGAAACACCGGCACCTCATCGCTGCGGTGTACAAAAGCAATCCCATTGCATCAAAAATCGCCATGATCAGCAGCTCATGCACCCGTGCGGCAGCGATTGCCCGCCTCGCACTGCCATCGGCCAACACGCCTTGCAGGCGTGCGATGCCCCCCCTCCAGGTGAAAGAGTGCCGGGGTTCTTAATGCATGTGCAGCATAGGGTGACAATGCTCGAAGCCAGGGGCTTTGGCCCACATCCCTGCTGCTCGTGGTAGTTGTACCGGCTGCAGGTAATTGTGCCGCAGTGCATCACACTCCCCTCCCCCCCCCCTCGCACCCTCTGTCTGTGACAACAACAGGCCTGACGCCATGGCAACAAGCCGCAAAAACGCAGGAAAGAAGGCACTCATGGCGGCAATCGCGACTTGCAGCATGCCGTGCGCAGCGGCCCCTTGCTGCCGATGCTGCTGCCACGTCAGGGCCAGCGGGACGATCATGATGGAGGGGCAAGCTCTGGCCAGCCGCCGCCCTTTGCGCGCCTGCTGTCCCCTGCGCTGCGGCGACGGTGGCTGCTGGACTGCCTGCGGTGGCGCATGTCATCAGACATACAGGAAGTGGAGGATGACCTTGCAGTGTCCTCCCCATGGGGGGCTTGGCTGCTGCTTGCCGGCGCCAAAGGCCTCGCCAGGCAGGCAATTGTCGAGCAGCTGCTCGTGTTCTGCCAAATGATCCACGACAGCGGGCTGCTGCCCCACCCAGCTGGCAGCGGCGACGGCGGACAGGCGGATAGCAACGAGATGGATTGGGCTGCGCTCCTGGCAGAGGCGGCGTCAGTGCTGCCGCGGCGCTTTGAGGTGGGGCCAGAGTGCATGAGGTGGCGCGATGAGGCGCCGTCCCTGCGGGGCAGGGGGGACCGCGCCATTCTTGACGAGATGTCTACGACATTTCACCTCGTGGAGGCGCGCGCCTGCGCCCCGAGCCCCGCTGTGGGCCTTATGGTCGGCCCCCACGCGTGGCTGGCCATGGGGGCCGTGTCCTTCACTGCGCGCCTGAACAGCGCCCGCGGGCGGCTGATGGAGCACCTCGCTTCAAACCCAAACGGCATCTTTGACGACGTTGGCGGCGCTGCAGCGTGGCAGCGGCTGTACGATAGCATGGGGGAACCACAGCTCTTCGGTTGAGGTGGGGCCTACTGTGCTGGGGACGCAGGCATGCTGATTGGATGCAGTGAGGTGGACGTGCTGGGTTTAGGGTTGCTGGTTGCTGGTTTCTGACGGTGGCTGAGCCCCACCTGTCGTTGGATCATGTTGTCATCTAATACGATTGGCCGGCAGCATTTGCGGAGTCGCATGTTCAGATACGGTTGCGGTTTGTGACACCTGCACACCTGTCCAGCAGCGGAGGAGACAGGTTGGTTTGGTCCCATGCGCAGCGACAGGCAACCTGCTTGCTTGTCAAGCATCGATTGTTGAATAATTGGTAACAGAACACAAGCCAACCGCAAAAAAAGGATGGGTCATGACCGTCAAAAAGGGAGAGAGACCCAAGGCAAGGGGTCCAGGATGGTCGATGCACGGCATTATACAAAGAAATACTCTCCACAAACGCAAGCAACGCCCCAAACATCACTGAGGGATCGCGTCCCTCAAGCTCTTGGCCAGCTGCTCCATCGCCGCGAGCCCCTCTGCCGGCGTCTCGGCCTCCCCCAGCGCCCGCACGAGCGCGCTGCCGCAGATGACGCCCTCCGCGCCCCACTCCACGATCTGCCGCGCCTGCTCGGGCCTCGACACGCCAAAGCCGACGGCGATCGACTTGTCCGTCACAGAGTGCAGCAGGTCTATGAGCCCCTCCACCCGCGCCTGCACGCGCTCCTGCACACCGGTGACGCCGGTGACGCTAACGAGGTACACGAAGCCCTGGGAGGCGCGCGCGATGTCGGCCATGCGCTGCTTGGGGGTGGTGGGGGTCACCAGCAGCACAAGCTCCAGGCCGGCGCGCTCGCAGGCGGCGCGGACGGTGCCCGTCTCCTCCAGAGGGATGTCCGGCACCAGCAGGCCTGGCAGGGGTCGGGAGGGGGCCGATAGAGAGCGTGTGCATGTGGGTGTGTGCACGCGCACACGCGCCTGGACGTAGAGCGCAATCATGGTCTTAAACAACTGCTCGTGCATGTGCGTGAGTGCCAGCCTAGGTGCCACACAAACGCCAGCTGCAGCTAGAATTAAAGAGACCGCGAAACTCTGCATGAAGTCGGCCACGCTGGCCCTGCCGCCGCCGTTCCTGCCGCCCGCAAGGCCCAGCCACAAAGCGCCGCCGCCGCCGCGCGCCGCCCTCCCCCTCACCCGACGCGCCCGCCTCCTTGATCTGCTGGCAGAACTTGTCTACGCCCTTGCGCAGGATGGGGTTGAAGTACGTGAACAGCACCAGCGGCGCCTTGAGCTGCGGCGAGACCTCGGCCACCATGGCCACCACGGCGTCCAGGGTGGCGCCCTTCTGCAGGGCCCGCGTCGCGGCTGAGTGGATGACAGGTCCGTCCGCCAGGGGGTCCTGGGGACAGGCGGCAAAGCAGATGAGGAGAGGGTGGGCTTCGGGCGGCGCGCTGCGAGGGAGGCGGGAGGGGCCGCGACGGTGCAGCAGCTGCACCCAGGCAGGCCTGCCTTGGGGCGTACAAACGGCACCTCTTGCCAACTGGTGTCTCGCTGAGCCGCAGCCCGCCATGCCGCAGCCCGCTGTGCTGCCGAGCAGTGCTTGCGCGAGGGACGCAGTCGGTGCCTACGCCGAGCATCCCTGCGGCTCGGCTGCTGTCATCAACATCACCCGAGACGCGCATCGTGGCGCGAAGCAGTTCCAAAGCCGCTCCAGCGCCTGGCCGCCCCATGATTGCAGCGCCGCGCCGAGCGACGCACCGAGTACGGCACGCCAAGCTCGATGACGTCAGCGCCCAGCGCGTCCAGCTTCTGCAGCGCCACGGCCGTCGTCTCCAAATCGGGGTCGCCGGCGCAGAGGAACGGGATGAACGCAATCCTGTCGAAAGGTGTCGTTTTGGCATGGCGGGGCAGTGTGCATGCCGGTACGATCAGCCCTCCCGTGTGGCGACATGCAAGCAAGCTGTTGTGCGTGGCGCGCACCGGGCAAACGCAGCAATTGACACAGCACGGCGGCAGAAGGGTATGCTCCCTAGCTGTCATCGTGCCTACCCAGCGGCCAATCCCGTGACTCCATCCTATCAAGTACAACTCCAAGATCGGGATCATTGGCAAATTGACCCGCCCATTGTCGCCACTCACTTCTTTTGTGCCTTCAACTCGGCCATCCTGCCGGACACAGAGGGCCTGGTTGTCACAGCTGTCGCCCTGACCGCCATGCGCCTCCCCGCAAAAGCACTGGGCCTGCCGATGGCAGCGCGCTGGACCTGCATCCTGCCTGAGAGTTTCCGCGGTTTCCCTGTGGGCCGGCTTGATCAAGCTGAGCACGCCGTTACTCGTGTTTATGTGTCTTTTTCCGAAGTGTGTAGCAATGTCGAGTACGTAGAGTGCGCACTTCACTCACTCCCGCAACCAGGCCGCCTCTTCAGGTTCGCAAGCTGCAACAAAGCAGCGGCGATTCCTTGCACCTGTCCTTTCGGTTCAGGACAGCCTAACAAAGGTGAGAGTGTTCACTGCTATTTTGGCGCGGATGTGCACGAGGTTGTTCGCGACGGCGCCCTGGTGTTTCTATGGGGCACCGCGTCAGGGCGAGGAGGCTGAAGGCAGTACCCGGATACAGAGGTTTCAGCGGATTATTTTCAGCAGCTTCGTCCAGCTGAGGCAGCCTTCAGCGGCGTGGGTGCAGTCGATCTGCTGCTGCGCTTGGTGCAGCAGTGTCCCGGGAGCACGCCCCCGCCACAGCTGAACAGCAAGCAGTGAAATCAAGGCAGCCGCTTGTTTGTTCTTGCGGCACAGCACGCGCGAGGCATGCCGTTTGTGGTGTGCTTCTGGGCGGCGCACGGCCTGCAGCAGGCGCAGCAGCTGCGCAACAGCGGTTCCGCCTCGACAACAGCGGTTCCGCCTCGACAGAATGTGACAGCTGCACACATTGCCCGGCGACCAGCCGGCAGTGTGTATTTCTCCCGGTTGAGGCCCTGCACGCCGCGTCGCTACCAGGCGTGAATGCTCGCAAGCTGCAGCAGTGTGCAGCGGTGTGGCGGTCATGTCGGCCAGGCCATCCTGCAAGCCGAGCAATGACAGGCAGAGCCCCATCGGGTCCCGTCTGGCAACAAGCTGCCATTCCAAGTGGCCTGCAGAAAAGCATAATCGATGGTGGTTGAGCGGCCGTCGACATCTGCAATGCAGTCGTGACACGTCTCCATCTGCCCCACGCACACTATCCTGGGTGCCCTCGCCCGCCGCCCCGCTTCCGCGCAGGCACCCCCCACGCCGCCGCCCCACGATGGCGCCGAAGTTCGACCCCAACGAGGTGATCGAGGTGTTCGTGCGCGTCACTGGGGGCGAGGTCGGCGCGGCGTCGTCGCTGGCCCCCAAGATCGGCCCCCTGGGCCTGTCCCCCAAGAAGATTGGTGAGGACATTGCCAAGGAGACCGCCAAGGACTGGCGGGGCCTGCGCGTGACCGTGAAGCTCGCGGTGCAGAACAGGCAGGCCAAGGTGTCGGTCGTGCCCTCGGCGGCGGCGCTCGTCATCAAGGCGCTCAAGGAGCCCGTGAGGGACCGCAAGAAGGTGCGGGGCAGCTGCGGGGTGTTGCTGTGAGCGGGGGTGTTGTTGGCCTCCCGTGATGTCAGCGGCCGGCAGCGGCGCGGTCAGCAGGATTCGAGCAGTTGCAGTGGTGCCTGGCTTGCAGCAAGGAGGCAAAGCAGGCGAGCGGCGGAGTGAGGGGCAAGTCATCACTTGGAGCAGTAGTCTGGTGATGTAGTGGCGGCCGCGGTCGGGAGGCAAAGGCTTGCAGCGCATGGAGGGACGCGGCGCAGACGGAGAGCTCTGGGGCGCTGCGCGGGCATGACGGTCGCTGGCCTGCCTGCCCAGCGTAGCAGTGCTGCTGTTGCTGTAGGAAAGCCACTGGACACTGCTCGGTGCTGGGGCCACCTCGCTGGCGCAGCATCGGCGACAACAGCAACGGCCGCGGCGCAGCAGCGCTGCCAGCAGCAGCGCCGTCAGCAGCAGCGCCGTCAGCAGCAGCGCCGTCAGCAGCAGCGCCGTCAGCAGCAGCGCCCCAGGAGCGTCCCTGCTGACCATCGTGCACCGGTCTCCCTGGCATCGCCCTGCCACCCCCACAGGAGAAGAACATCAAGCACACCGGCAACATCACTTTTGATGACATCATCGAGATCGCGCGCGTGATGCGGCCCCGCAGCGTCGCCAAGTCTCTGGCGGGCACCTGCAAGGAGATGCTGGGCACCGCGCAGAGCGTCGGCTGCACCATCGACCACATGCACCCGCAGGAGGTCATGGGCAAGGTGGGCCCTTTTCCCGGCGGCTGTCTGCATGCTGCCCTGTGTGCATTTGCTTCCGGCCGTGCGTGCGTGGGGCGCTGAGGGCGGGCGCACATGGTAGGTGCTGGGTCACTGCATGCCGCGTTTCTTCAGGGGGCAGTGTCAGTGCTGGCAAGGCGAGGAGCGCTTCATCTCACCGGTTGATCTGAAAGTTGGTGTTGCCCCTTGTTTGCCACGCATGTGCCTGCGCTGCAGATTGACAGCGGCGAGCTGGCGGTGCCCGATGCTTGAGCAAGCGTGGCAGCAGCGGCGGCGGCAGCAGCAGCAGCAGCAGCAGAAGCAGCAGCAGAAGCAGCAGCAGGATTACAGAGATGGTATGCCTTGGCGTGATGTAACACTCACAAATACGCGTGTGCAATATGTTGAGTTGGGGAGGCTGTCAGGCTTCGTTCAGCACTAACCGGTGCGCTTGCGTTTGCCAACAAGTGTGGCAGAAGCTTTCACAAAAGGGGATGCGGGGATGTGCAAAAACAGGCGAATCTGCTGGCATCTCGGCCAGCAGCCTGCAGCCTTCTCGCTAAACAGTGCCCCTGCTGACGAACACTGACGTCGCCTCGCGGGCAGAGGTGTGTTTTGGGGGGAAAGGGGCGCCAGCCCTGCCGCCATGTGGTTGTGCTCAGTGCGGCGTGTGAGCCCCGGTGGGCGGGCGGGCAGAAAAAAGCAGGATAAGCAAGTGGCATGAGGCGCACTGCAGGCAGGTTGCACTGCCGCAAAGCCAAACGAATGCCTCGGCGCTGCCAGCCGCCAGTGGCAGGAAAAGCCAAGGTGTGCCTGCGCAGGCAGGATGATCAATTTGAAGGCACTGGCAGCACGCACCTGCTGCGTGCGCGCGCGCCGCCGCTGACCCGTCCTCAAATCGTTGGATATGCACAAGCGACGACGCAGCAGTGCTGTGAAATGCAGCGCACGCCCGCGGGCCCACATCAGAGGGGGCTTCAAAACTGTTCGTGTGTCCAAGGGCTCACACGAAGCTATGGTCAATGCGTCCCCCTTCCCTCACCCAAAAGAAACGCGATGCTGCACGCCGATGTTCTCAAGGCTGCTCAAGATGCCGCGCACAGGCGCATCGCTTCTGTGGCGACGAACTGCCGCCCGCAGCGCCGCAGCGCCCCTCACCGACCCGCAGGGCTGCCAAGGAGGACCGCCCCGCTGCCCCCCACGCGCGACTGCACAGTGGGACACGAGCGCGCCGGCTCGAACCCACCTCCCGCCTCGCAAAATGGAGCCTCTGGCCGCCTCACTCGCGCACGGTCGCGAGGTGCGGCTGCGGCGGCGGGTGCGGCACCGCCATGTTCCTGTATAGGCTGGCGCCATGCATCCGCCGCTCCCCCAGCCCCGCCGCGCCCCGCGGCCCCGTCATTGAGGGCACCGCCATTGGCGCGCCGGCCATCATGCCCGGCCAGGGGGCGTGTGGTCGCGGCTCCGCGGGTGCCTGCGGCTTGGGCTCCGGCTTTGGCTCCGCCCCGGCGTCTGGCTTGGGCTTGGGCTTCCCCTCAAAGCCGCCAAAGTCGAACCTGAAGTTTGGAGGCGGAACGTTCCAGCTCTTGTCTTTGTACACGCTGCCGCCCTTGCCCCCTGCGTCCCCCTGCTGCGCCGCCGCCGCTGCCGCCGCCGCCCCCGCCGCCGCCGCGCCCGCGGCGGCGGCCACGGCCAGCGCTCCTGGGCCGTCGGCCCTGCTGGCGCCCGTGCGGCGGTGCGTCGAGCCGTCTGGGCCGTGGAGGGACGCGTCCAGCAGCGCCTGCAGGCGGCCGACGCTGCCGGGGCTGGCGAAGTCCAGGCGCGCGTCATATTGGTCCAGGCTGTCGAGGGACCCCACCTGGAGGGTTGACAGGTGTTTCATGTTGGTTGCTGGTTTTTGGAATCAGACCAGATCAAGTGGGGCCAAGCGATTGGCCAGTTCTTGGGGAGTGAAGCTGCACAAGAGGCCTGACGCATCCCAGGCTTGCGGGATGTGAGCAGCACACAAGAATCATCTTCCCCTGGACGTGTGGGCGCCGCCCTGGTAACTGCAACGCGCGCCTGCCGCAGCCGTGAGCCGTACTCCTTCCCTCCCCTCCCCGCGCCGCCCCCGCGGGCTGCTTCGCGCCGCGACCCGCACCCGCAGCAAGTTCAGAAAGCCGTCAAAGTCCAGCCCGTCCTCAAGCCCGCACGCCACGCCGCCGCCGCTGCCGGCGCCGCCGCCCGCCTCGGCCATGACCCGCTCCAGCGTCGCCGCCAGCTCGTCTTCAGGCAACTTCGCCCGCAGCGACGCCACGATCTCCTCGGGGCTAAGCACGCCGTCTGCATTGGTGTCGAGCGCGCTGAACGCGCGCCGCGCGATGGCGACCCACGCGTCCACGTCGTTCCGCTGCAGCGCGCCCCAGTCGATCTGCGACGCCGCGAACGCCGCACGGCGCACGCGGCCGCTGCCGCTGATGTCCATAGCCTCTGCCAGCTGCGCGGCCTCGCCCGGCCGCAGGCGGAAGCCCATCCGCTCGAGCGCCTCCGCGGCCTGCGCCGCCCCGATCGCGGCGGCGGCGTCGCTGCCGGTGG